TTTTCCTTGGGAGAAATGTGGATATAAGTGTTTTGTCCCCTGTAACAAAAAGTGTTGATATTAAGATAGCTGGCAAGCCGTGTTGAATGCTGATTGTTTCTTTGCTTGCGCTACATTATACAAACAATAATTTCCTGCTACTCAGTAAATGGCCCCGATGACACAAAGTCCTGGGAGCTTTCCCCACCAGTAACAGCCCCTCCGCCCATCACCTGTCCATCACTGATTTGCTATATTGACCCAAGTAATGGTGGTAATGGATGTTACTCACATCAACAGGAAGATCAAACAGTAAAAGGAAAGCTTTTGCTTTTAGAATACCTGCTCCCAAGTGCAAAGCTTCAACCCATTAAATGGATCACAATGCTGTTCCCATAAAAGAAAATTAAACTGAAAACAAATGCAGCTTTTGTTTTCATGGTCTAACACTATCCATTGACTAATTAGTAATGTAATTTTCATATTACAGTTACAATTAGACAATGACTGGAAATTAGCATGAGAGCCAGAGAGAGAGAGAGAGGGGCCATGCTGTCCTCACCTTGACAGTGGACCTACAGCAGATATCAAAAAAGAAAAGCAGAGGTCAAAAAACAAAAACACACCACAAACACTTGAAATCCATTAAAGACACATGTTATCGTATAATCGTGCACTCTTATTAACAAATCGGTCATGAAATATCTTCGTCATGTCGCTTTGACACAAACACATTTGTGACATGAAAAATTAACTGAGTCTGGTATAACTACAGACTACTGAGGACAGGTAAATAGGTGGTTGGTGTTCACGCAAAACCCCTGTATGAAACTGTAGTTTCATTTAACGGAGAATTGCTCAGACAATAGGGTTTGTTATTATCATTTGATCACTTTATGAAAAAGTTAATCATTTTTAAATATCTTTGTGACGGATGATAAACCTTTTCTGATTCTACTTCTGATGGATAGACATTGCTGACAATTTCTAATATAAGTTTAGGGCATTACTACAGGATCAGTCATAATCTCACAGTAATGTTTTAAAGCCTGCGTAAGTTTTGCAGAACAGCTGTGGCCACAAAGGGTGATTACGGTACAGATTACTGGATAATGGCACATTAAATGTCTGTAGATTCTCTTAAGACAGACACTTGATAATATCATTGGCCCACCTTACTTGGAGCAGATCAAATCAGACCATAAGCAGAAAACCACTATGTTTTTTAGTGAGGTAAAAAAAACTACTTAAATGTTTGTGTGACAAATGGTTGTGTTATATTTTGCATTGCTACCACCACCCCTTGAAACACTGGCCTTGCAGATATTGCAAAAAGCCGTACAACTCGTTGGTGTAACAAGCGTGAAATACCTCCAAACTGCTGACCCCATGTCTTTAGCTCCCTCCATGCTATGTTAGCTCTTCTAGCAAAATGTTTGGGTCCTGGCACACTGCTTTGTATAGTACGTGCGTAATTGAATTGAATAGATCAGCCCCTTGTCCCCGATACCCGTTCCAGCTATTTGAGTCAGTTGGCCGCACGTCCAATCAGTATCAGATCGGTGCATCCCAAACATCAGGAATGATCTATTAGCCACTTACTGTACAAAAAAGATCTGATGCTTTTTCCTCATTCAGAAGTCACAGAGGCTCCATTCACTTAATCATACTGTAGAGCTACTTTAGTGACTTGTGTCCCTGTAACCCTTTTAATGCTACAACAAAGACAGGTCCCTTCACCTATGTTGACTAATTCACACCAGCAGCTTGTTTGCTTTGATTTGACAGGGTTTTACCACTGCTACTTCCAGCAGTCTGAGGCCTTTAAAGGTATGAGACAAAGATACTTGTGCCATGGTTAACAATAATTGGCAAGATATATGCATAGGATTTCCTGTTGTTTTCAGATCTTATTATTCAATTCCACTGTCCTTTAACGAGACTGATATTCTCTAGCCATAGTATTTCCTTTCCAGGTTTCACTGGGGATCTGGATTGTGTTTCATTAATCCTAACAACTGTAAATTCACCAAAACAATTTTAGACATCTCCAGACAGATTGCACTGTCATGGTCCTGATCAAAAACAGTGGTGGACAGCTCCTTTTCTGTGTGGTGTGCTCAGGAGTCTGCTGCATGGGAACACATAAACAGAGTGCTCAAACAGCTCAAGGCTTTATTTCAGGACAAAGACACCATGTGCGCATGACGAACTTTCTCCACACAAGGACCTGATTTGGAGGCAAGAATATGTAATATGTATGCCAAAGCAATGGTCTGCTTGTTGTGAATAAGAGTGGAAGTGAGAGCACAATTGAAGAAATGTAGGTATGGACATTAATAAATTAGTAGAAGAAGATCCAAGACTTGTAAACTCAACCATTTTCTTACAGTGTCCAGCTGCTCATATGCATAGAAATGAAACAGACGCAGTCCTTGCTGCGGATATGTGCCGGAAGAGAAGTCCGAATTTAGGTACTTCCATTTCAAACCCACTCTGCTGATCCTCTGCCAGATTACTGGGCCTCAATTTTCTGTGCTGCGGTCGGGGCACAACAAGGACATTTATTGTCCGTGACCAGTTCTCTTCTTCTGAAGAGCAGCAGTTGTTTCGAGCACATGAAACCGAAGCACAGCGCCTCAACTGCACCAGAAAGTGATGACCTTTAAATGAGCGAGGCCTAATGTGGCTGCTCTTTGGCCCGGCTTCATTAGCAGATGTTACAGGAAGTGAATAGTATCCTTATTGAGGGTCACCACTACAGTCCGACGGCATGTCCATCTTTCCTCTGATGGCATTAGGGGCCTTAAGACAAAGATCTGGCACGGACACAATCACAATCATTTGTGCTCCATGTGCACATATTAAAACAGGGCGCCTTGGCAGATCCAGCAGGTCTGAGTGGGTGTTAACAACCAACATCATTGCTACTGGAGATAATAACCACTAAAGATTTTGAGGCTGACAGAAACTGAAACTGACAGAAACAGTGAACTAATAATCTGCTGTGAAGCTTGCCTAAAACCAATCAGAGTTGGTCAATTAATCGACATTTCTAATTTACAAAAAGTTAATCTGAGTTAATCTTTTTATAATTATTTTTGAAGTAATTTTTCAAGCAAAAATGCCAAAGATTTGCTGGTTCCAGATTCTCAAATATGAACATATTCTGCTTTTCTTTGTCCTGTATGACAGTAAACTAACCTCTGGTTTTTAGGCTGTCGGTCACGCAAAAATATTTACAAAATTGACTGAAATAGTTATGGGTGTTTTTGACACTATACAGACTAACCTACTCACAACTTAATAGGGGAAATAATCTATTGTTAATTGCAGCCCTAAAATTGATTGGCTGTCTGTATTTGTGGAAAACATTCATGTTTGTCAGAAATCCAACACGGCTACAGAGAAGATCTAATGCCAAATATCTGAATGAATGTCTTCTCCTGGTCAAACAGTTACGTTTAAATTATTTTAAAAACGCAATAAAATAGATATGGAATGGAGGTGAAGGGCACCAGGACAGACTTGAAGAAAGCCAGAGAAGAAAAAATACAGGAAGTGGACTTGATAAGAGCAGAGAGAGTTGGAAGAGATCACGGACAATGGTCAGGCTGAACGTTCAGAGATACAATACACAATGCAACGACAAGGGAAGGAAAGGTTCGTGCGGTCAAGAACAAACAGGGATAAAGAAAGGTGAAGACATGAGGGAGAGTCAGAGGGCAACAGAGGAGGTAAGTCAGGCTCACAAAGAGGAAGGGTTAGGGAGAAAAGCACATAATGGCATGTCTTGTTTAAACAAGCAAGGGCACACCAACACAAAATGGAAAGTCCTTTAAAATTACGCTGTATGGTGGATAGCTGAGGCAGCGTGAGTTTTTCCTCACCCACATAACACCACACATAAATCTACACTCACACGCGCTCTTCTAAAAATAAACATTCATCTGCACCTCAACGGGCACCTGACCAGTTGCCATCCAACCTGTTGTATTATAGTCTCCCACACACTGATTAAAAGAAGTAGTCTGTTTGAACTAGATGATAAACTGTACAGGTGAACTTCACACAGATCTGCCACACAAACACCACACTCTAAAGCTGTGTAGGGAGAGGTATATCTACTGTAACTGTAGGGACGTGTTTGTGTGTTTTGAGCTCTTCACCGTGCAGACTAGAGCTGACAGAAAGCAGACGGAGAGCTCCCTGACTACAGCTGGACCTCTGTGGATATCAGGGGCTAAAAACACATGCAGCAAACTATTCAAACTAACTAAATATACCCTGAAAATAGCAAAGTATGATGTCTCATTATGGTCATTTCTAATAGATTTTTTTTTACAGTGTAAAAGGTTTCCAACAGTCCTGGCATGTATATTCACAGCATGCACAACAAAGCAGCAATCTGTTCGCCACAAATCCATTTTTTATGCTGTTAGAAGAGTTTACATTCCTCCATTTTCACAGAATCACAGAATCTACAAACAACACACCCACTGTGCAGAGGAAATGCATTCAAATGTCGTGAAAATGGCCCATCCAACTAGCTGAATAAGTTAAATTTTCAAGTTGTTGTGTGTTGCCTTCCTCAGGAATCGGTCTGGCTTTAAAAAGTCTTTCTGTGAGGACCAAATATATGGGAGAGATAAATCATTTTCACACATACATTCAGCCAGGTTACAACAACATAGAGCTGTCTTGATAGTTAACTACCCTGGGTAGATTTTTACTGAATAACAATGTAAGCAAAATGGGACCGTGTATCTCATCTATGGAACTACACCTAGGATAGAGCGGTATGAGCATGCGGTAAGGAAGTCAACTTTCTCTGCAACCAGTTTACCTGGGACCTCTTTAGATCCCAAAAGTCTTTTAAATGGTTCCTTTACTCCACATAACGTTGCATGATGTATCTCTTGGCATAGAAATGGGTTTAAACATCTTTACTCCCACCAACAGCAGTCCAAACCTTCGTGTTGCACGGACAGTGTAGGCTATCACGTTTCTAGGGCACTCACCTTCCCAGGTGTGAAAGAGGACCAGAAGTCCGACAAGCAGAGAGGCAGCGTCCCGTACAGCCATGGTTGTAAGTCGGTAGTGCAGGGAACTGGTCCTCCTGGAAAACTGTATGAGAGACAGGGAGAGAAGAGCAGCAGGGAGGCAAATGATGCAGGCGGGGCTGGCACGCTGTAAAAAATAAATGTAATTCTGTACAAATCATTCAGGCGCACAGTTCATTGAAAATGCGTCATGTTTTCTCGACACATTATTTGCTTTAAACAACTCGGATTCATCTCTTATATGACTTACTTATTTAAATGAATAAACTCACAGCAGTCCAGAACCCGAGCTCAGATGGATTATTGGATATTTTTTGCAGGGGAAAAAAGGAGGAACTTCAGTGAGAGCGGCAGGAGGGCTGAGGTCTGGTTTGAAATACAGTGTGGGTCATAATTTAGAGATTTCACAAACTCTATCATGATGAGCTTAACTCCATCCTGGACCAAACTTTCACCTGCTCCATGTAGAACTGATACAGCTGCAGAGCATCTTTAGCCTCCAACTCATGCAGTGACAGAGGTGAAACAACTAAACTCTCTACAAACTGCTTTGTATATGTTTCCTGGTTGGGTCCAGTCAATACAGAATTTCCCAGACAGAGTATATGCATGCAATGTTCCAACATCTTAATATATATTAGTTCCATCCACAAACGTGTTCTGATCATGCATGTTTTGCATGCATCTGCAGTTAACATGTTTACATGTTTATTTGGATGATGTTTTTTTTTTATTGCATGTCAAGATACAGTACTTCCCTAAGTTATTTTTTTGCTTTTGTTTTAAAGGTCCTCAGTCTTAATCAGCATCTTACTGTGAGCAATGGGATCTTACAAGAACACCCACATTTTTGTTTTGGTTATTTCACATTTATTTCAACTACACACATGAATAATTATTGCTAATTTTGTCATTAATATGTAATCCTTTTGATAAATACTTAGGATTTGAAACTAGGTTTTCAGGGACTAATTCAATTTCAAGAAGAGCAAATCGACTCACTCACATTAAAACACACTGTTCAGCTGACATTCGTCCTCCATCACAAACTGTTAAACAAAGATAATTTTTATCTACACCCAGCCACTCATAAAAACTGCTCCCTCTCTGTGCTAGATGCCAAACTTAATATGGACATAATAAGGGAGTCAGACCAGACTGACTCCCTAAACAAACCATGTAAAAACATGGTGCCTGCCAGAGGACATCACATCATTTACATGAGGCTGAACTCCTGACCTTTGGTTGCAGACTCTGACAGGTGAAGCAGTTTAACTGTATACATGGTTTTGACTGTTACACTTTAGATAACTGCAGTGCCAAAGTGTAGACCGACATATTGCTGGGATGTGCGCAGAGAAAACAAATACCAGAGTACCAGAGGGTTGCAGGAAAATGAGACTGTGGTCAGATACTAGGCCGCTCAATCCAGGTCAACATAATTTAAATATTTATGTCTGCCCAGACTGGAGAGTAGCACAGTACATAAACACGGGAGCTTTAGCCTTTCAGTAAATAAATTAGTAAATAATAGTAGATTTTAGATGGGTAAAACTCTCCTGGGTTAATGATAGCTAAATTTATACAATTCAATATCAATATTACAAAGTAACAAAATCTCATGATGATATATCAAAAAAAATTACAAATAAACAAACAAAATATTTTGATTAGAATCCCATAAATTTGGTTAATTAAGAATTGCAAATTATGTTTCTGTTTCTGAATTACCTCACACAAATCTCTGACATTTCTATACTGCAATTTCTTGTCATATTTTGGCCGACATATAGACATATATATCTGTGATAAGCAAAATGCGTCTGATATATTGGCAATGTCTGTGTATTGTTTGGGCCCTGTTGTGGTGGCAGCCCGGCTGACGGTGAGTGTCCTATTTATTTCTCCTTTTTTTGTGATTCTGTTTTCCCCTGGTGTTTTGTTTTCCTGTACTCTGTCTGCCTCCCTGTGTCTCCTCCCCTGAGTGTGTTCTCTTCCTCTCTCTCTCCCTCCGCTCCTGAGCCCAGCCAACGACCCGCACCTGCACCTCGTCAGCCACCTCCTCTGCCTGCCACACCTGCCAGCAATCAGCCTCATCTCTGACAGCACTTCTACCCCGGTTCTCCAGTCGACCCCTGCTTGATCGTCGTTGCTCCTTACCCGGTGCCACTTCACCACTCCAGCTCTTGAGTATTCTGCATCGTCACTGTTGCCTTGTACTTTGTTTTCCCTGCTTCAAACCCTGTCTGTCTGTCTGCCTCCCCTCCAGGTTCACTCACCTCCGTTCCATCAGCTGGGCTCGCCACCCTGCCCTCTCCCCTCGAACCTCCTCCACGGCGTCCTCCCGGCTCCCTTGACTCAGTCTCCTCGGTTCCCTGTGCCCGTGTTTTCCCCGGCGTCCGCCTCTCCCTCACCTCCACTCCCTCAAACCCTTTTTCCCTTCAATAAAACCTGTTCACCCTGAGTTTTGCATTTGGGTCCACTCTGTCCACGCATCATAACAGGCTCTAATGAAATCAGAATCAGCTTTATGGTCAAGTAGGCTCACATCTTCAAGGACTTTGTTTTGGTAACTTTGTGCAATACAATAAACATAAGATATATAGATATAAACATGTTAAGTTGACAAAATGAGCAAAAAAAGGTGGTGCAGCTGTTGGTGTATGGGGAGAGGGGGGGGGGGGAGAGGGTGCAGATAGTCCCATTGACCTGTAGGCGAACTGGAGGGGGTCTGTGATTGGTTTGAGAAGGTGTTCAAAAGACTTCATAACCACAGCGGTGGGGGCAACAGGTCTGAAGTCCTAGGGTCCTTGGTGGAGGATGTGAAGCAGGTGGGCACATGGCATGTCTCCAGTGAGATGTTAAAGATGTCTGTGTATCAGGGACAGCTGATCAGTACAGGCTTCAGAGTGGATGGAGAGACAAAGTCTGGCTCTACTGCTTTGCGGGGTTCTGTCTCCTGAACAGCCTGTTGACATCTCTGTCCAAGATGAAGAGTCGTTGATTATTTAGAAATGGCAATGAACTGTGATAGTTCACAAGGGACGGGGCGGCTGTGGCTCAGGAGGTAGAGCTGGTTGGCTGTTAATCGGAAGGTCGGCGGTTCAATGCCTGGCTCCCCCTGGTTGCGTGTCGAAGTGTCCTTGGGCAAGATACGAATGACAAGGGCAGTGTACAAATGAGTGTGAATGTTAGTTTAGACTGGTGAATGCAGATGTAGTGCTTTGAGTGGTCGAAAAGACTAGAAAGGTGCTATACAAGTACGGAGCATTTACATTTGCTGCTCAAACATATTTCACTGTCTGGAGCTACAGGAGTAAAAATGTTCCTCAGCATAACCCTCATGTTTGTCACAGCCATGATCGCCTGATCAGATGACCTGAGGATAATGTGTGTAACAAACAATAAAACACTCCCACAGATGGTGATGAAAGCTCAAACTGTCTGTGCAGTTACAGTAATTGTTTAATCTTGGTATTATTTGATCCCTTGTGAACTATCACAGTCTGTGCAGCTGGAAACAGATCAAAGAGTAGTGGGACATGTCGCGTATACTGATCTCTGTAACCTTCACTGTTGGAACACCGTTTTGTTGGCCATCTGTGCCTGCCAAGTGGATTGCCTGAGTGAGGAAGTAGCAGGCAATGATACCAAACTCACTACGGTGAAAGAGTCCACTGGTCAGATACGAGGTCAGCTGCTCACAGCTGGACAGTTAAAGTTCTCAGAGGGGCATGTGTGCTTTCTTTTGTTTGAGCCTCTTCCACATTATTGTGGTATTTATATGCCTGGAAAAGAGGAAGTGAGCACACTGGCCAGCACAGAATTTGTGCTTCATTTCATTCTGGTTGGATCAGGACATTTGGTGAAGGTTATTATCATATTTCAAGAATATTAGTTTTAGGTTTTCTCAGCCATTTCACTGCTTTATTTCAAGCTGTGTTTTTTATAGATATGTTTTTTATTTGTTTTCATTTGGTGGCAACCAAATAAAGAGGCCGTGAGAGAGCTTCAGGAGATTTTCTTCTGCATATTTCTCTTCCAAACTCTTGCATAGTGAATGTGAAAGGCCTCTGTGTGATGTAGATACGTCTGGGGTGTGTCAGCAAATATTTTAGTCAAGGAAACAGAAAATACACTGACAGCCCCATTCTAAAATAATTAAGCAGCTTGAAATTTCTCCATGTTGAAATGATGTGCATGGGGCTTTATGAAAGCGATACTCTGTATTTAAACAGTTTGGAGTGTGGTGTTCATAAGGGCAAAATTGTAAGAACTGTATTAAAGTTTACACTCCAGCAACCAATGCCAAGGTACATTTGCCTTACTCATTTATTTGTCCTGATTCACGAAGCCTTCTCTCTTGGAGAAGTGAAAATAACAAACAATAAAGCATAAATAGAACCTCTGTTGTTTGTCTGAGTCTCTTTTTCTAGGCTGAGCATCTAAACAAAATAACAGTTTGATCATATATTTTCCTTATGACACTGCACTATAACATGAGGCCTTACTACCCTGTGATGCAAGAACAATGCTTTTTCTTTATTTTAATGTCTGCTTCATGGATCATGGTGAGGATGCTGACTTTTTGCCTGGGACATGCAGCTTTAGCCTCAGTGTTATAGAACTACATCATGAATGTAGCCGTCAAGTACATATTTACTCTTCTCGTTTCAGCCAGAGACAGGATTTTCTTTTGTGTACATCTATGTGAAAGCAGACACATTGTCAAAAAAAATTAAGAATTAAATCTGCAACCATTAATGTGCAGAGGGAGTGGCTTAACGAATAGTCAATCAGTCAGTCAATCAGTTTTCATGCTGATTTGTTGAATTAGCAGATTTGTTAGTCCATTAGCTGTAAATAAAATCCACAAAAAACATCACAACACCAAGTGTTTCTTTTAGGATCCAGCTAAAATAAAATTAAGTTATTTATTTGCAGGGAAGTTAGCTAATTGACACAACTACAGGAACTACAAAGAAAAAATGGCCTGTGGCTATAGTAAAAAGTGAAGTCTTAAAAATCCCAGGATTGAAGCTGATAGGAGAGCTGTACCATGTGCCGCTTCCAATCAGGACCTTCAGCTCGTCAGGCAGGAAGTGGGA